GATTTCCCACAATTTTAATATTAGCACTCGTTTTCAGATATATTACCGAGTTTGAAATTAATTATAATAAATATGCAGTCTACACTCTACAGAATACAGTTACTTATCAGAAAATGCTGTTTGTGGGTTGTTGGACAGTAAACGATTAATGAGATAATCATGATAAAAAAAAAAATATTATTATTTTATTATTATATATCATTCCTATGTTTTTGGTAAATATTATCATTATTATTATTATTTTATTTTTAGAAAGACACTGCGTGATAAGTTACTCCTTCACACCATCCATTCATGACCAAATATCTATAATGGCTATGCCACAACCTTGCATCTTGGCCATTTTCTTTATGTCTTAACTACACTAGCACAAAATAGCAGTTGCATCCTATGAGTGGTCCCTAAATATTAACATTGCGTGGGCTATCTCTCTATTCTATAATCAATGGTAAAATAAATATATAAAACACATTTATGAAATAAAATCATAAAAGACTGGGCCCCTATTTCAAATTTCGCTAAATATGTTTTCGAAAATAACCATAATATTTGTTTTGACATTAATATAGACTTAAAAATACTAAATACCCAAAATAACATTTACATTAATACAGTCTTTGAAGAATTACATATACACAAAGAAATAAAGAAAACAAATGTTTAATAATATTTTAAATTTTCAAATCGATTTTAAAAATAATATCTTATTTCAATACATTTTAGATAATAAATAATAACCAAATAATGTATATATCTGAACACATCTATGTCTAATAATAACTAATTTTAAATAATTTCTCCTATTAAAATAAATTATTTCTATGTAAAAATGACCAATTTGTGTAATTTTTTTCTATGTGTTCCTTTATTTAATTTTTTATATTCAGTTGCCTTTTACATTTTGACTGTGATATACCTGATGATGAATTTTATACATTTTTTATTATTTTATTTTTATTTATGTACCTTATTTACCTTGTTTGTATATTTATCATTAAAACAATTTTGTCTGTAGTATTGTAAATTGAAAATCAACATTACAATTTGTGAACAAAAAGTGATGATAATGATATTTTATAATACCTGTACCAGAAATATCGCTTACCAAAATACATTACCCAATTTGTAATATCATGTTGAGTTTTGGTCACCCTTTTTCAATTTTAAACCACATTCATTCTTTTATTTATTTTAATTTTTTTTTTTTTTTTTATATATAAATTCTTTATTTATATATTTATTTACAAATATTAACCATTTTAATAATTTGTTTTTACTTTATTATTCTATTTTAAATTTATACTTATAAACACTACTTTAGTAAATTATTTGTGTTAATTAACATATCTAGCCATTATATCTACCTATAATTATATTATCGATTTAATAACTTTGTAAGGATTTTAATGTTTATACTTTTGTACATAAATTATTGTAACAAATTTGTGTTTAAAATGTTCTGTTTTTCACAATAATATGTCTTGATGATTATGTTGATATTATAGTTTCTAGATATAATATTATATGTATTTTGAAATAGTTATGTACTAAAACAGTAACTTTAGTAATTACTGTTTATCACTATTGTGAATAATAAGAAAAAAAACCTGTAATCAATTAAAATCAATTTTTGTTCATTAAAAAATATAAATATCCTAAAGAATATCTTACATAAAAAATCAAACTCTTTCTTTTATTCTAGGTAAAGGCATTATTTTTTTTTATTAGCACCTTTTCATTAGTTAAATTTTGTAAAATATGTTGAGATAAATCTAATTTGTACTTCAACCATACCTTTATTTTGTTCGCTACATAAAGACTAAATTATTGAGAAATCAATTACATAAAATGTATCATAGGAACCTTATTAGGACCATGTATAGAGGGGAGCAAGGCGCTATGACTACAGGGGCGCCAATACAATTTTATAAAGTTCTGTAATTTTATATTATATTTTGATTATTAATTATATTTTTTTATATGTCTAGATAAAACTATGGGCATTTAAGATTTGCTGGATAAACAAGAAATTTATAATGTGTATGACAGTTTAATTTTATAGTTGTCCAATTGTATGGTCGGTAAGCTACTTCCAGATTTACTTTATGTAATAAATTAATAAATATAAGGTTAATATTTAAATTTATTAATATATAGATGATTTAACCATTAAATCAATTATTAACAATACTGATAAATCAGAAATAACAGACCAGGATAAACTTTCACCATTACAGCAGCATTGCAAAAATCAAACATCAGACACTAACAGAACAAAGGACTGACAAAAATTGAATACAGAAATAATAAAAATCATATTAAGGTAATATTAGTTCTTTTGAATTTAATAATTGTGGTTGTAAATATGGAAATACTGAGGGCCTATGAGTTTATAAATGCAAAGTTGTGAACAAATTATCATTTGGAATTTATGTGTCAAAATAATGACACGAGTATCAAGGGTAAATTCACAGTATTGTCAAAGACAAATATTAGTAACTGGGTACATTTTTGAGATTAAGAGTGAAAATAAAATTTTGGTTGAGAATATAGAGATTGAAGTTAAATGAGATACAGGTAAAATACATTTTGTCAATACAATTTGGTTAAGTATTAAAAATAAAACTCAATAGAATATAGTGATTATAATAGTACTTGAATGTCTTTAAATAAATTCTTTGGGAGGAAAAGTTAATTTAGATGAATTCATTTATAACAAAGTTTTTTTTTTTACACGTAATACACAACCTGTATCAAATTAAACACAATAAGAATATTTGATGAGAGTTACATTGTTTGACGTGGAAAATTTGATGAAAGAAGCTACCCATCAATATCACTCTCTGTGGGTTTTTTTTTATATTTATACTTATCTTAAGAGATCACGTCATCACTTATGCCTCAGATGTCTCGGGGGATTTCCAGGTATGGTGGGAGTAGCCAAGTTTTTTATGAGTTTGTTAAGTTTGGAATGGAATCTTTTATAATAAGCTTTTTCTTTAATTGTTTTGAGTTTGGTGTCAGTATGAAGGGAGTGATTAGACATATAGGGTGGGGCGTTCAATATTTTTCGGAGAGCGATGTTTTGGAACGTTTGTATTTTTAGTATGTTAGTCTCTTTAGCATTGCCCCAAAGTTGGAGTCCATATGTCCATATGGGTTTGAGAAGTGTTTTTTAAATCAAGAGTTTGGTTTTAATGGAGGTGGAATTATTGCCTAATAAGGGTTTTAAGATACGGAGCCGATGATTCAGTGCTAATCTTTTGATTCTAATGTGATGAGCCCAGGTTAGTCTTTGGTCCAGAGTGAGCCTGAGATATTTGATTTTTGGAGAGAAGGAGATAGGAATACCATAAAGAAAAACTCTAGGACAAGGAGCATGTTTGAGGGTAAAGATCGTATGGACAGATTAGCTTTGATTTACTTTGAATCACCAGTTGGTAAACCATTTTTCCATGATGTTAAGATGAATTTGTCGATTATTTAACGCTATGAGTTAATCATTGTCAATAGATATTAATACTTTGTCGTCAGCGTAGTCTGCTACTGATGTGTTGGAGGTAGTAGGTTGATCAGAAGCGAAAATATTTTACAGAATGGAAGACAAAATGCCCCCTTGTGGAACACCAGCATTTATAGCTGCTACGTCAGATAGAACAGAACCATAGCGTATTTGAAAATGATGATCAGTTAAATAGGATTTGATGAGTAAGTAGTAGGTGGGAGGAAAGAATTTGTTAAGTTTATACAAAAGCCATATGCAGTCAAAGGCTTGTGAGGTGTCTAGAAAAACGCAATTAAAGTACAGTTTTTTTTTTTCCAGGGAATACAAAATGGAGTCAACAACTCTGTGTGCTTGATGAATAGTCGAGTGAGAAGCGCGAAACTCAAATTGGGAATTTAGAAGAATATTTTTTTCAGTAATTGAAAGTTTCAGGAGAATTCATTTCAGAATTAACCGTTCAAATATTTTGGCGAAGAAAGGGAGAAAGCTGATTGGACGGTAGGGTGGTCATTATTTTTCGCTTGTGATTTTTTTCAAGTTACCCCCCCTAAAAAGGTTCGATTACTAAAAAAAAAGCTACAAAAAAAGTTTCAGGCAAATTCATTAATATTAACCTGTGCCACAACAGCTCTAAATTTATAAAAATAGAAAATGTTCAATATTATCAATTTTTAAAATTTTTTTCAATATAACTCCAGGAAAAAAATACAACAAATTTGTTAAAATATAAATGATAGAACACTACATTTTCTACAATTTGTTTCATATATAATATTTTGCAAATATATTATTTTTTCAAATATTTTAATTACAAGGTAAAAACAAGAATAATCTTNTATCTGTAATATATTTTAATTATAAATGATAAAACCAAATTATTGTGATAGTGCAGTAAGTGTTTCTTTTTTGTGGTCAGAATATTTTTTGCGGTAATCACTAACTACTTATAGAAGGTATTGTTTTTGAGATTCGTTTTTGGTAATTTTGTCAATATAGTCCTCTATAAGTTTTACTCTTCTTTCTGCTACATCGTTTATTACTGGAATATTTTTTATAACTAACAAAGCTTTAGAATAGTCTTCATTATTTTCCCAATTAATTGGATCTTCATTCAAAAAAAATGGTGTTGATGGAAAATCTTTTAAATAGTGTTTTAGTATTAACCCATATAAAATCATCGATTTCTTTTTCTAATAACTCATTTGCATTTTTTGGCGATTTAGTTGTGCATTTGAAATTAATTCTGATGAACTTTCGTTGTTGTTTAGAGCAGTGGTGCGCAACCTTTTTTGATCCACGACCCCCCAAAATGATTTATTTTGATAATACGACCCCCCCTTCCTACCAACATTATGTAAATGTATAATATAAATTTTCTTAATAGTCTCAATGTATACAAACATTTTATTCATATAAATTAAATCGTTAATTTTAGGTGATTTTAATATTTCTTTAATTTAATTAATCAATAACATGAAAAAAAAAATATACAAAATTAGAGTTTTATAAAATCTAAAATTAAAAAATGTATTATTATAATGATAATCAAAATTTTAATATTTTTAAAATTATAAAATTACTATTTAATTATTTTAATGAGAGACCTGAGCTTGCATTGTAGACATGATTGATTCTATGTTTGGTTTGATATTTGACACTGCTATTCTTAAATCAGCTTCAACATTTAATCTGGAGCGATATTTGTTTTTAATTATCGTTAGTGTTGAAAATGCTGTTTCGCATAAATAAGTTGATGCAAAAGGAAGTAAAATTGATATGGCTTGTTTTGATAATTCTGGATATTCAAATTTGATGGAAATCCAAAATGTATCACATGCATTTTCTTGAAATCTGATACGTAGATTTTCATCTGATGATGAGTCAATTAGTTCTTCGCTTATTTTTAAATTTCCTAATTTTATTTCATTGATATTAAAATGAAATGGATTTCTTATCCAACCTAGACTTTCTTCTGGGAAATCTTCAAACCGTGCATTAAAGTTTGTTTGTAAACTTCTTAGATGAGCAGTTATAATTTCTTTTATCATATTAATATCCACATCATTATCACCTAGGAATTCTGATAAACATGAAAACATTTCAAATTTGTCATCGTCGATATAATTTTTCCACAGAAGAATTTTCTTTTTAAAAGCATTGATTTTATCAGAAAGAAATAAAATATTAGTATTTTTCCCTTGTAGGCTTAAATTTAGACAATTTAGTTTTTCAAATATATCTGCAAGATAACCCAGAATTGCAAGCCATTGCTCTTCTAAAAAATGTTNATTTTACCACGAGACAACCACCTCACTTCAATATGAAGAAGCAATTTTTAATGGTCAGAACCCATTTCATTGCAAAGTATAGTAAAAAGTCTGGAATTTAATGACTTTGATTTTATAAAATTTATTACACTTATAGCATTAAGGAGTACTTTATTAACATCTGGTTGAAGTTTTTTGGAAGCTAAAGCTTCTCTATGAATCATACAATGGTTAAACATTATATTTGAAGACACTTCTAAAACCTTAGCTTTAAAACCTATTTTTGAACCAGTAAGGGCAGCTGCGCCGTCAGTGCATATTGACCAGGGAATTTCATTAATTTCTAAAAAATTGTTTATAAGAACAAAAATATCATTTCCAGTTTACGTTCTTCTAATGGTTGATAAAATAAAAAGTCTTTCAACTATTGTAAATTTAGTTTTCTTTAATTTATAATCTAAAGAATTTATCGTGAAATTCTTTTCTCTAGAGTTGTGTTGGTTTTATAACAAAAACTTAACGATTTTGAAAAATTGTCTATATTTGTAACTTCAGAGCTGTTGTGGCATGGGTTAAATTTATTTTATTTGTCTAAAACTTTATTTCTATCATTATTTTTAGTAATGGAACTTATTAGGGGGGAGTAATTTGAAAAATTTGGTTATTTTTTTTTCATACATAATAGAGGACCACCCTATTGGACGGTGTGATGATGGTATGTCTGGTGGTTTGTTTGGTTTTGGAAATAAGATTATAGATGCAAATTTCCACAGTAGGGGAAAATAAGAAAGTCTAAGTGAAGCATTAAATATATGAGTGATGTGAACGATGGCTCTAGATGGAGGGGATCTGGCTACATCTGCAGTAATGCAATCAAAGCCTGGTGATTTTTTTGATGAATATTTTTGTATAGCATATTTAACATCATTGGGTGTAAATGACTTGACAGGGAGAGACAATCAACTAGATTATGTTTTCATCATCTATAATATCAGCGTGTGGTTGAAATGTATTATGAAGATGATCCTTAAAAAGTTCAGCTTTTTCGATATCCGAAGTAGCTAATCTGCCATCTGATTGTTTAATAGGGAGATTAGGTGATTTATAGCGAAGTTATTGCTTTATTTCTCTCCATAGGCTACCATCTTTGGGAGTTAGTTTCATTAAGTGATTTTGCCATATGTTTGACTTAAATTTGGTGAGCAATTTTTTTTAATGAATTAGCTAGTTTATTGTAATAAAGTTTATGGGATGGTAGACGCATGTGCTGGTAGAGCTCTTGCTCTTCTTTTTTTTACAATTTTGTTGCATATATACTCTGGGAGTGGGCTAGCTGAAGAAGGTACTGGAGTAGTGTTTGTAGCAGACCATGCTGAAGTTTGTATTATATTGGTGAGGTTGAGGACCGCTAAGTCTATGTCATTGGGAAATTTTAATTTTGTGTTTAGCTTAGTTTTTGTATTGACTAATTCATGAAATTTAAAATGATCTGTGAATTTGTTGAATAATTTATTGGATTCTTTAACAGAAGGAGAAGTATTGAGAGTTAGGAGTATCGATGAATGGTCAGAATTTAGATCAAGCAAGTTTTTAGTAGTGTGGAATAAATTGTTTGGTAATTTGGACACAAAAATATTAAGAATATCTGGAATTTTACGGGCGGAATAAGGTCAGTAGGTTGGATCAGGTGGAGCTAGAACTTTAAATCTCTTTGTGTTTATAAAGTTGTATAAGGTGACTCCTTGAGGATTATTCACGCGGCATCCCCATGACTGATGTTTGGCGTTAAAATTGCCGCCTATGATAAAGTTATTATTAAATGAGTTGAAGTAGTCGGCGAATTAAGAGTTTTTAATGTTATGTTTTGGGGGTAAATATACAGCAGTGATGGTGAGTGGAGTATTGTTCATATTTAGGGTAATAGCATAAAGGAAGGTAAATAGGTAAAGGATAATATTCAATATTGGATTTAATAAAAATAGCAGCGCCTCCGTGCGCGGTATTGTCTGGGTGATTTGTTTTAATTAAAGTATAACCAGGGATATGTATAAGGGAGAATTTAGTGAAGGGGGTTTTGGAAATGAGGCCATTGTCAATGCGTTTGTTGATTAATACAGTTTCTAGGTCACTGGCATGGTTTTTTAAACCATTGGCGTTAAATTGTATTATTAATAGTATCTAAAGTGTTGATCAATGATTTGCTTAAATCTGGAGGCTGAGTATCATTAGTAGGAGGAGGAGAACCTGGTATGTTGGATGTGGCCTGAGCGTAAGTTTGCATTTGAGGAGAGTTGATTAGGAAAAGTGTGATCAGGTGTATGGCTACTTTGTATATTAGTGGTTTGGGTATTAAAATTATTATGTATTCGATTGCTTGGTGTGCTGGATATCTTATGATGGAATTCTTTATAAATTGAGCAGCCATTAAAGTTGGCTGGGTGGTTTTGAGAACAATGAGCGCACTTCGGAGGAACATTGTGTGGGTTCGGGCAAGTAGTTGACTGATGATCTGCTCCACAGCAAACGCATCGAGGATGGTAACTGCAGTAGGTTCTGGTGTGTCCGTATTGTTGACAATTGAAACATTGGGTAATTGTTTTCGGTTTGTATGGCTCTTCGATTTTTATTTTACGGTGAAGTAGTGATGACAGTTAAGAGTTTGTAAGATTTGTAAGATTGGTTCAAGATCAATGAAAAATAACGGGAAGGAATTTTTATTGACTTTGTGTAGTACATTGGTAACTTGTCTTACCTCGTAGAGTCGAACTTCTAACTAATTTTTTATTAGATTTAGAGGCGTGGATGGGTGGAGGTTGCATATGACTATCCGGAGTGGTTTGTCCTCTTTGAGCTGGTAGGTATGATACTCGGATTTTTTCAGATTTTAGGTAATTAATTAAAGCTCTGTATGCACTAGGGTCCAAAGTTTGTATTTTCAATGAATTGGTTGAGAATATAGAGATTAAAGTTAAATGAGATACAGGTAAAATATATTTTGTCAATATAATTTGATTAAGTATTAAAAATAAAACTCAATAGAATATAGTGGTTATAATAGTACTTGAATGTCTTAAAATAAATTCTTTGGGAGAAAAAATTAAATTAGATGAATTCATTTATAACAAAGTTTAAAATTAATTTTTAACCATATGATAATAGTAGGTGTAAATAAATAAATAAAAAAAAACTTTAATGAATAAAAATTATTTCTTGTTAACATGGTAAATAAGAAAATTTAAAATAATATATAAATATACCAAGTAATGATGTTAATGAAAAAAAGAAAATATATAAAAATGTCTGTATCGAGGAAACAACTATAAGAAAAATATGAATTTATGAAGTTTTTTTTAAAAAAAATAACATTAGACCTAACTAATGTGTCTTTTAAAGAGTCATTAACTTAATTTGCTCCATGTGTTCATGGAAGGTTTTTAAACAAAATCAGTTTAACAGTCATACAAAATATATAGTTTTTTTCAATACTCGTGATTTTTGGTTTTGATGTAGTGTTCAGAATATTGAGTTTGCATTTAATTTTCTAATATTAATATTTAATAGGACAATTAGTTTTTTATTTTGAAATGATATACTTAAAAATAAATTAAAATTTGTCTAAAATTTATACATTACTTTTGACAAGTTAATTAATATTGTAATTAAGTTGCCAACTTTATTATTGTACAATAAATGCCTCTAAATCCAATTTAAAATAATTTGATGTAAGATTTGATTATTAAAAACTATAATATTATAATGTAATAATTAAAAAACATTATCAATTATCATTCTCAATTGAACAATTCGCTAAATTGTCTAACATTAACACACACCATATTTGATGTTTTGTAAATAGCCACCAACAGGAATGTTTTTAAGATATAATTCATACATTTTTTTTCATTTTATATTAACTGTTTACGTTTGATTTTTAAAAATCTTCGATTTTTGATTAATTTTAGGTGTAGACTATGATTTATTGAAGATTTCTGTTTTTTGGTTAGAACTTACACAGGTTTTGATTACTGATACAGTCCTATTCCTATATCAATAACTTTGTTTCCTTGTAGGAAGCCATGTTTGTAGTTGCCTCAATGCTGGATAACTCATATTGGTCGTTTACTTGTTAAAGTTGTAAGAATAACCCTTGCTCAGGAATTTTTATTTGAGCTTCTCTTAATTTCTTTTATGACGCCCTTGTCCATTTGTTTGATGTAGAGACAAATCAGACAATATTTGTGGAGATATCCATAAAAAAAAGAAAAAACATTATTTATATTATATTTTCATGAATTTGTCATTTGATGTTTTGTAAATAACACCAACTTGAATGCTGCTCTCGGTTTCTAGTTTCACTGGTCACTCTCAACGGAGTAATATTCTAATATTACTATACATTGACACACACCATATCTGATTTTAATTCTAAAGTCCAAAGTTCTGATCCAAAATGCACTATTCTCTTGGTCATGAATATAAAGGAAAGGCCATTCTTTTATTTTCTTATTGTGTTTGGACTGGTCAAAATACTGTCAAAAACCATTTCTTGATTCAAAAATAATCTTCAACTGCGTTGACACGTATGAGTTTTGACATCTTGTACTGAGCCAGTTTCTTTGAACTTAACAATTAATTAACAAACTGTTGACTCATTAGGAGCCTCATTTCGACCTATGATCTGTCTACGATTGGCGCAACTTTCACTATGGCAATAAAAAGTCTAAACAAGCAAAACACAGTAAACTTGTAAACTTAGTCACACCATGATTACAAACAGAACGTTAGAAACAATCGAAATAAATGAATAAAACAAAATGTTATCTTTAAAACCTTTACAGCATTTTATTGTGGAGAGTTTATAGATAACAATGATGAAAGAAATAAGTCAGCCAACACACAAAACAAAAAATACCGGGCAAATTAAATTCTTAATGAAACACCCTATATTAGTCATATCTTATTATATCATTTCACAACAGTTTTAATAGTTAAGTTCCAATTTTAATGATTTATATTAAAATAATTATTTAAACCAGTTGATCAATACTATAAGGAAATAAATACAATCAAAATATTTATAGATATCAAGCATATAGTGTTATGATAGAAGTTCTGAATTTACACATTTCATTGAAACATATTTCATCTTTAAATTAATATTTAATTTTTAATATAGTTTGTTATAGTGAGTAACCAATAATTTAATTGTTTCGATAATTAAAAAAACTACACCAATCTAAATTACAATGTCTTCATAAATACAAAACAAAACTAGGTACATATAGGCAATATTTATTTAAGGATGAGAGTGAGAAAAGTATTATATAACATATGAGGTATAATAGTTAGACAAATAAGTTGTAATTATGATTATGTTTATTTTGTTGTATTGTATCAATATTGTTTCTAAAAAAAAAAAAAATTAAATATTTTGGAAATTGTTTTTATTTTCCATAATCCATTATATTACGATTATTTGTTGATAACCATATAGTATTATTATTGTTTTTAAATATAAAAATGTTATTGATAATTTGATTATAACTATTACATTACCAGATTTTTTTTCAAAATTAAAATATTAATTTTAATGTGTGTCATATTATTTATTTATGTTAAGAAAAATGTTAACAATACTAGCTACCAATAAGTATGTATTTAATAATTAGTAATCAGGTAATGAAAATGTGTGGTATCTTATAACTATATTATCAAATTGTCTTTATCCTGAAGAAAAGGAAGATATGATAAAACATTGATATTATTATCTTCTGTATGTAATGCAAAAAGATTTGCTTTAGGTAATTGTTAACTTTTACATGATATTTTTAATAAATTATAAAATCTGTAATCATTTTTTTTTTTTTTTTTTTTTTTTTTTTTACCTACTTTCCTATAAAGTGTCTTTTCACAATTCAATTTCGCTTAATTTTGTGCTGGAAATTTATTTTATGAGCAAGCATAGCCTACGAATAGTTAACTATATAACATATAATTGTTTAATCTTAAAATGTTGTTTCCATAAATATTTTAATTTATTTACTACTTCTATTTACTTACATGATAATAAAATTAAAAAATAGTTGTAATTAAATAGAATATTTATGTTTACATGTACAGTAAAATTCACTTAAGACACTTCAGGAAACCAGTTCTCTAGTTAAAAATCGTCAGTTACTATGAGTGTAAAAATATGTTTTGGTTTTACAAAGATGCTTATTTTTTTTATAGACAACTGTCCTACCAGAAAACTTTCTCAGATTTTTACGTGTAGCTCCCACTATGAAAGGAAATCTGTGTGGAGAGTAACTTTAGGGATACTTTCGGTTTTCTCAAGAGTTCTCTTATCAAATGTGAAAACCAAAAAAAAAAATAGAAAATGTACTAAATGTATTAGTATATAGATACAATTTTTTTTTCTGTAGACAACTTTTCAACGAGCTTCTTTGCTCCAATCTATAATGATAGCAATTTTTCTAAAAGAAAATTACACTTAGGAGATTCTTTAAAGAGGTCATTTTTCAATTTTCTTAGGAGTTTTCTCAACAATTTTCGGATTAAAAATATTGAGAAAAAACATGAAAATGTATGTAATATGTTAATATAATATTACGAATAAATTCTGTGGACAACTTTTCAACCTGCAGTTTCACTCTAACATAATAATAGCAATTTTTCTAAAAGCAAATTTGATTAAGGAGGGTCTTCAAGGAGATCATTTTTTGGTTTTTTCTCGAGTTTCCTCAACAACTAGAAAACTAAAAAGGACAGTAATTACTGAAGCTACTGTTTTAGTACATAATTATTTTAAAATATGCATATTATTATATCTAGAACCTATAATATCAACATAATCATCAAGACATCGTTCTAAAAATAAAATAGTAATAATAATGATAATATTTACCAAAAACATAGGAATGATATATAATAATAAAATAATAATATTTTTTTTTTTATCATGATTATCTCATTAATCGTTTACTGTCCAACAACCCACAAACTGCATTTTCTGATAAGTAACTGTATTCTTTAGAGTGTAGACTGCATATTTATTATAATTAATTTCAAACTCGGTAATATATCTGAAAACGAGTGCTAATATTAAAATTGTGGGAAATCAAAGAAAATGTTTCCAAATTTAAAAAAAGACGTCTAAAGATAATAGGGATGGGTGCAGCCACTGTTATAGATAATATAATGTATATGTGTACTACTTTCCTAACTTCTCACTTAGAACAGTAGCTACACTCACGTGTGAAGTATGTCAGTCTTTTTATTATTCTCCCTCAATTATTTCTATTTAGCGTGTTTTTTCAACGACTAAATGTTTTAGGTTCTATAATTTGGACACTAATGAGTTTAGATTTAGATGTGAGAGATGTTTTTTTTCGCAGTTGGTATCAATATACGGTTGTTATTTTGTTTTTTATGTTTATAATAATATTAAAGAAAATTAAATTTGATAATGTATACACGTATTAAATGATAACAAAAAAAAATGATAAAGCATGTTGTTCTACTGTCCAGTGTATAGACATATCCAGGTAACTTATACCTACCTATCTTAAATTCTCCCATTTTAGATTCAGATTGTGGCGAAGAATATCTAGGGAGGTCTAATATATTACCAAGTTTCAAGTCTCAACGTGTATTTGTAACCAAAAGAGGAGTTTTGTGATTTTTCGATTAAATAACTTTTTCTGGTAGAAAACGTTGTCTGTGTTTTTACAAAATAATAAAATCGTGGAATTGTACGTTTTCCTAAGTTTTTTCCTACTCAAGTGCTTTTATTTAAAAAATGACCTCTATCAAGTACCATCTAGACAACTTGGGCTTTTATCAAAGTTGCTACATATAAAATTTGGAGCAAGTTTACTAAGAAAAAACGTGTCCACAGTCTAGAAAAAAATAATAATAAATAAACATCTTAGTAAAACCAATGGTTTCCTCGCTACGCTCGAAATCTAATACCCCTCGATTTGTTATGCAAACTTTTCTACCAGAAATCTTGCTACCATTTATCAAGTGTTGCTTATTTTCTGAAATGAAATTTTATCTCCATTGTTTTAGAAAGGTTATTTTTGTGATTTTTCAATCGGTTTTTATAATGACTGGGAAAAATGTCAGAAAAGCGAAAAATTTTTTTGTGAAAACAAATTTTCTACCTTACCAATTCCCACTTACAAAAGTGTTTACACCTATGTGCGAAGTATGTCAGTCTTTTTGTACACGGTATTTATTTTATATAATTTGTGAATATGAAAATGTATGCCTTTTTGCAGTTAATACCTACCTTTAGAATTTTGTCGAATATTACTGCGCTATCTCACAGGAGCCTACATAACTAAAATTCTAGCTGCCAAATATGACTATGCCATGGGCTATCTAAGTCTATTTTATAATCAATGATTTCACCTATAATAAAATTTATAACAGTTATAATTTTTAATGAAAAAATTTGAAATTTAATATTGTATACACGTTTCGCGCCACATTTGTTCTTCCCGCTGCGCGTCGCTCGCGGCGGACGTCGGCCACGCCCCTAGTTGTCGGCGTTCAGCGATCATCGTCCACAGCTCCGCTCGTCTTGACGTGACCACCTCTCCGCTCGTTCACTGCACCGACGCCGTACGCGAAGCATTATTTTCCGACTCCGAATAGTTTTCTATACATATAAAATCCAAATACCACTGACTGACTGATCGCNAATTTGGAATATAGGTTCTTCTCATATTTTCACCTTACAATAAGGAGGGATTTTGAAAAATGTTACGTTTTAGCGGAGTAATTAACAATTATAATTATTCACCGCCAATACGTATTGTGCGGCACGGCGGCCCGCGGGTCTCCAGCTACCTGCAACCTATCCTATTTGTTCGTCGCCGTCGTCGTGTAGATAAGAATGATGATTCCGAGAAGTTTATCGATAAAAATAAATTTATAGATATTATGTTATTATATACCTATCCGAATAATTATTATGTATAATTGTTTTTCTGAACTATTGTTGTTTTAATTGTTGCGTGCTCGCCTTTTCCTCCGTCAAAAGCCGTCTGCTGGCGATCACTTGTATTATGTCTTTATGTTGTAAATAAACGTTTCTTTATTATCTTATAATAAACCTCGTGTCTTGGTGTAACCCGCCAAACACGTATTAAATGATAACAACAAAAATGATAAGGCGTGTTGCTTTACTGTCCAGTGTATAGACATATCCAGTCTTTGTGAGCCATTTTACTTACAAGTGTAAAGACGGTTCTCTGGATTTTTGTTTTATTTATTAATTAGGTAGATAGTTATTACTTAGGTACGTAAATGTCATATTTGTTCACCCCCTAAAGTTTAGTAAAATTACGCCTATGACTTTGGCCATAAAATTAATGTCTAGTTCGCCTATGAATAAGGAATATATCTATTCCGATCCTGAATTTTAAATAAAAACACACGTACATATTTTGTACATTGATAGTTCAGAAATAAATATAATAACATAGAAAAAAACACAATAGGTAATATATATATATGTTTAATATTATTTCTATGACGATAATAATATTGTTATCGACGAGTAAAATATAATTTATAAACAAGTGCGCGCGGATCAGTACTATAATACAGATTGAACTCTCAAATAATATTGCGTAGATAATAATAGAATGTTGTACAATTTGAACTATAATATACTTCATAACCGTTATCATTTATAATTCATTATACTACTACCATGATGTGTATATATAATATTAAGTATTTGCATTTTAATAAATTTAAAAAAATAATAATTTCACTGCGTATACAATAATATTATTTACTTAGGTCTTAGATGATAATAAAAATAGTAAGATGCACGCACTGACACGTAGTATTTTCTGAATTTACTGATGGGTGAGTAAACTTCGATATAATAATATAATAAATATTATGACAACTTTATGTATGTGGATGCGTCGTCGAGCACCACGTCAACGTTTAATCAGCTTAATTTATATTGTTTTGTTCTATCTTGCCTTTCATCCTTTCCGCCACCATCGCCGTCCTTTAACCGCGACCTGTTAACCGTTCAAAAGATTCTGGACGGATCTCAGAGCGGTGATAGGAATCTAAAAGAGAAAAAAACACGAAAAACATTTTAGTTAAATGATAATAATATTATAGAGCAACCGAACGAAAAATGTTCCTAACCATATAACATTAATTTTCTACATAAAACATAATATTATTCATAGACAAATATACATAGTTTTTGGAAAGATAATGTATTAAAAATTTTTCAGGAGCCGAAGATTACAGTAGACTAGTTGTGCATAGCGATACCAGAACAAACTTCTACGTATAATCATGGATGAGAATCCAGTTTGTAAAAGACCACCGGGAAGACTTTGCTCGAGGTGGGAAGATGTAATTTAAAAAGAGGTAGAAACACTAAATAGAAGATCAATCAGATTGGAAAACACAAATGGCTGATAGGAAAGATTGGAGAATTGTTTGTGTGACGGATGGTCTTAATGGCTGATATACCCTAAAAAGAATAATATACATATTGACGGAATATTAGACCTTCCAAAGAGTAAAAGACATGGTCGTGTCAAACAGATCGAGAGAGATAAACTGATGATATTATTTGACTGCGGTGTATAATTTCTATGAGTGGATAATGGATATACTAAAGAAGATTGGAAAAAGGAGACCGCCTGCCGGAATTTAGTTTGATGATAAAAATGTGATTGAGCAAGGCCTATTTGACGAAGGACTAAATGGGAAAACATCAGTTTAGATGGGAGGACTGTGTTGAAAGGCTCAAAGCTGGTGGAGCCAATTGTTAAACCACTCAGTTTAGTCCTCGGGAAGAGTTTTAACCATGTACACGCGTTATCATACTGAAAATTCCATCTAATTGTATATGTCTACAATAACACTATATGTTTTGTAGATAATAAATAATAATACCGAATACTACAATAGAAATTATGATAATGAGTAATGAATAATAATAATAATTATTATAAGATTATTATTATTATTATTATGATTATGGCGATGGATTTTAGGTTATGTAAAGAAATCGAGCTAAAGATTCGCATGGAAAAACATTTACATGAATGACAATTAAATTTGCATTTTTCAAAAAAATTAAATTCGAATTCTTGAATATTTTATCTCAGAAATTAGCTGGTATGTTAAAATATAAACTTGACATTAGTTTTTAATCATCTCAAATTATTAAAAAAAAAAAGTTTAAGTTTCTATTATAGTGTATAGGAAATAAAATAAATGTATACGAACTATTGTTCATATTTAGTATGATTTCGCTAGTCATGAATCCTCAACCATGTCAATGATGATAACAGTTATAGTTTTTTAATTAATAATATCACTATCACCATTTTAAATTATTTTCATACCAGTGGTCAGCAACCATTTGTGAATTGGTGAATAAAACTTCTAGGTAACTGCAGAAAAAAAAACAATTCATATTTTTTGTCATATAAAAAACAAATCCATGTTTTGTGACGATTCATTTCCAATCGTTTTTTTAAAATGACTCACTAAAAGATATTCATTTTAGTGTATCTGCGTTAATAAGAAATAGACTTTCGTAAATGATTGATATATTTGATGTATTGTTTTGCATATCTTCAATTTTTTTTTTGTGCGCATATTTTATCATATTTACCACCTACACCTAAATTTTCTGCTCTAATAATATACATACCTATTTAATAGTTGTAATGCAGTTCTATAAAGGACTATGCTTTATACAATCGTGACTGGGAAAATTAAATTTTTAACTAGAATTTTCCTCTGGTTACCGACCACTGATCCATAATTCTGCCTCGTAGAGTTATTAGGTATTATTAACAATTCGATTAGATAAGATTATAAAGATTAGACAAAGTTAGGTGCGTGTGTGTGTGTTAACTACAACTACAACACCACCCGGCACACACAACACGTACGTTGAATATTTGATCATAATTTGGTTTGGTGTGTACCATCATCGGATTCGGTGATCCGGATTGGCCAGCGGAAGCGGTGTGCCCGTAGTCGGCGCCAACGGTAGCGTCTTTTCCTGAACCTCCGTATGAGGCGCTGCTGGAAGCGGACGACGAGGTGGAAGCTGAACCACCGCCGTTACCGTTTTGGTGAGCGGGTCCTCCTGGTAAGAATAGTACAAATAAATTATAACAACTATACTAATATGATAATATTGTGTAATATGATGTGCATTATCACATTCATTATAGTGCAATGTACAATGTGCATACCTTGTTGGCCCGCGACCTGTTTCTGGTTCAAATATGTGTTGACGGACTGCAATACATTGATTGGAATCTAAACGCATATTATTAAAACAAATGTGTTATAGATATTTTGTAAAATGTGTTTAAATGTCTGTGCGTTACAATAATATACATGGATAAATCAAGTTGCGTTTATTATATACCAGATACCAGCTGTCCCGCACCTGACGTTGTTTGTGCCAATTTGTATTATTATTATTTTATCTATATTCATTTTTGGTTTTGGCCGTGATGTCAGAATTGAATGAAAACAAATAGATGAAAAGTGGGTAGTCCACTTTCGGCGGACTAAATGTGAAATTTCAATAGTGTAAATAATTGTAATAATAATAATAATAGTTTTATTCTCTGTGGAAACCCTTGAATAATCAAAAATAAATAAATAGGCAATTAGATAATCGGACCAAATATAATTAAAAATCCCTATATTTGTTTTTTTTTTCGTGAATCTTTCCAATATTTTAATAGTTATTCTGCTATTCGGGGCGGAGACGAATCTAACAAATCAGAGATCATCAAAATCGGTCCAGCCGTTCTTCAGTTATAAATGGTGTGACTAACCCGACTTTATTTATTTATATAGATATAGTGAAGGATGTAGATGAGCTAAGAGGAGGAACAGATTGGAAGAGGTGAGCAACTGATCGGGATGAAAGGAAGGCTGGATGATGGGATGGTCCTAGAGGCCGATAATAAACCCTGAAAAAAAAAATATATATATATATATATACTTACGGCAAAAATCCTATCGAAGAAACCGTTTCCGGCGCCTCCGTGCTGGTTTGTACCGGGCCGTGCATAGTTGTTAGGTTTAGTGCCGGACGATCCAGAGTCACTCGGAACTCCGATAGCGGCTCCGGCTGTGGCACCTCCTGTGCCGTATCCGGCACCGGCGCCTACGCCGTTTCCGCCAGCGGAAGCGGCAACGCTACCGTCATCGGCCAAAGAGGCAGAAGCTTGGAAACCTCCCCATGACGCTGACACAGAGTCGTCGTTTTTGGTAGAAAATCCTCCAGACTGAATGATTTCCTATATATCAACCGTATGATTAATTCTTATTATGTTTGGACATTATTGTGACTAGACGAGATGAATTAGAAACTACAGTAGAAATGATTTTGCAAATTAATGTGATCGTAAAGGAGATGATGTTATAAAATTACGAGTGATACAGGGTGAAAAAGAGGGCCGAAAGCGGAGAAGAAAACAATATTGAATAATTTTGTAATATAATATAATAAAAATAATGAAAACTGTTTGACGGCTAGATGGAGACTTTAACAGTCGCGCCGCGCCGTTGTCGTTGCCGAGAGACGAGAATAATATTATTTTAACAGATTGACATTGTAAGCTATCCCGGTTGATTCCGTCCATTATTATATTATTATTATTATTATTGTTGTTGTTGTTGTTATTGCGCGCGTGATGCGTAAAATCCGATCAACAGATAAGTCGCAGGTCACTTTAGAACTTGGGCTGCGGACGAACACCGATCGACTATTTCACAACTGCAGCGGTGATTATGACAGTATAATTAATTATAAAGACGGGTGATCGTCGTTAAATTATTGCGCCAGAAATATTCGTGTAGAAACACGATTTCGTAATAATATTATATTATACAGTATATTATATAGTATAGTATAGTATAGTGTATATATAGATATTATAGTATAGGTGGTGTTCCGAGTACACAACGGTATGTAAATGGGAAATCGTACACTTTAAGACTACGATGACAGACAACAACAATAATTCGCGATGTACTATAATTATTAATTACTCTATAACAATATGTAATATATACGATACGCACCACTGTGAAGAAATAATCGTTGTACTTAATATGTATAAGTACCTACGTATAATAAAATAATAATAGTATTATAAGTACATCATCGCGATACATACTCGTATATTTTAGTCGTGTTTGGAATTCTAAAATTACACAGAACTTATATATTTTTGCAATATTTTATATTAATAAAAAAAAAAAATTTAAAACTTTGGTACCGGGTTGTACCAACTATTTACACAGAGATAAACTCGTTTATCTGTGGTTAAACTATATACTGTTACATAAACCATGTTTAAATTATGTCTGTTTATATGTACTTTATGAAGATTTAAATTACAGGCCTACTTATTACCGTGTAAACATTTATGTATAATTAAATTTCGTTAACAATACTTTGCGTTATTGTGGTGATAATCGAATTAGATAATTTGAATTACTAATATTAATGCCTAGTTGCAAATATTATATTAGTTCATATTTCTGAATTAACCAATTAAGTTCATTAAAAGTTTCTTTCCATCTTCACTAAAGTTTTTTCCTCGATTTTTCTTGAGCTGCTATTCATTGTTAACTTATTAATTAATTAAATTGATAAACAAAGATCACAGTGGAACTATTTATTTGATAGCTAGTATTTTGGAAATAACCTGAATATAAAAAAAAAATGATTAAGCAACACTTGAAAATTTAACACATGATAAAACTTTAATTTATCAACCGTTAGTTTATCATTTTATACATTTTTAATACTAGATTTATCAATAGATAACAACAAGTTTTATGTAACCGGGCATGAGAGTAGTACTACGAGCAGACACCAGACTTAAGACACTAAACTGAAGTGTTCGCAGATTTTTGAAAATTTAATGACAACAAATATTTAATGTTTAAAAAAACATTTACTACGGTTAATATTAGTCTAAACAAATAATACAATCTGTTATAATTCTTGATATCATAGATATTTGTTGATTACGAAATAAGGCTATTTTGATTAGAGTAAATTGTTTAGGTTTAAAGTACATCCAACACTAATATTATATTAATCAGTATTTTGGTTTAATAAATCATAATATAACACCAAACCAATAAAGAAATATTTAAAACATAATAATAATTTTTTTGATTTTCCCAAGGATTTTCACAATAAATGGGAAAAACGAGAAAATTACGAAATGTATTATTTTTTAATCGTAAATATTACAGCCTTTTAAAATATATATGACCATGTAAAACAAGTTTTCTAAGCGGTTTTTATAGTTATTAGGAAAAACCTGGATAAAATGTCAGAAAAACGAGAACATTTTTGAAAATAATTTTTTTATAATTCAGTTAAAAATATTCCTAGTGACTTAAAATTTGGACAGAAAACTTATATTTGTCTTTCCTAGATTAAACAGAAATGCATGTAAATTTAACAGGATGTTAATTATAATTTATACTTTGTGGTAAAAACAAACAAACAAAGTTAAATTTAAAGTAGTATATTTTTTTTAAGAATTTTAACATTAAATTTTAACGACAATTGTTTTAGTAAAAATTATATAGCCAAATCTAATTATTGGTCCACACAAAGTTTTTCAATATATATTAAAAAAGCTGTTCTAGGATAATGGGGATGCGTGCAGCAACTGTTATAAGTAATTTAATGTATACCTGTAAGATACTATAAATATGGTACCCATTATTACGTACATATTACGTGTCTGTAAGGATACAGACGGTAAAGGTAAAGGTAATTTTTCAATTTTCTCAGGAGTTTTCTCATAAAATTTAAAAATTGAAAAAAAAAACGGTGGAAAAACGGAAAATATAAGAAATGTAGGTATTAATAAAATATATTAAGATATTTTTTTCTGTGCATAACTTTTCTACTAACAATTTTGCTCCAATTTATAATGTTTCTAAAAGGAAATTTGAGTGGTAAGGTTCCTAAGGGAGGTCATTTTTCTTTTTGCCCTAGAGTTTTCCAGAAAAATTTGAAAAACCGGGAAAAACTTAGGAAAACTGGTAAAATCGGTACAACATTAAACAAATATCATTAAAGAAAATATATAAAGGTTATTTTAATTATTTTACTATAATATGACACATATATTGTTGAAAAAGCATTACTATCGACTGAACTCCAATCAGAATCGTTTTTTTGTAAGCAATAGTTCATTGTTGCATACAGGTATACATTAAATTACCTATAACAGCGGTAACACCCGTCCCTAATATCCTAATACGTCATTTTTAAATACATGCTTTACACTTCAGATTCAAAAATATTATGCATTTATGTGTATTGTATATTATGCATATTATCGCATAAAAAATACGAAACGTCTATACAAATTAATTATTTGATACCAATATCACCATTTTGAAAAAAAAGTCACTTATCTGGTTTTTTCCCTTTACCCTTCCATTGCTGATTATGTCGATGGAAATTACAAATTTCAACATACAAATAGTTTTAATTTTAATTAAAACCCTATCGAGTCATGGAATTTTTAATATAGTACAATTTAAAATATGTTGTAGAATCTGAAATTATTATCCGAACAGAAAATTCCGAAAAAAGCCAGTATTTTTCGCAAGATAATACATATATTCCGGGGAAACTTAACACTCAGTATGCACATTGTAATTGTATATTGTATTCGTGGCAACAATGGCGATAGTTCCTATTGTTATTATTTATTATAATTTTTTTTTTTTTTTAGGAGATCGCATATTACACGTGTTTTGGCGATTTTTTCATAATAATTCAATGCGACCACTCGCTCGTGCTTCGTTGGACAAGCATATGTTTTCACTGCCCGCATTGAGTATCGTAACAAACGCGCGTCGGTTGCAATATTTAATATTACATATATATTTATATACAGAGTGATATTACGAAGCTTTAGAGAATTTTATGTGATTTCTGTATTTTTACATCATTTAAGTTTTATTTTAAAATAATTTTCAATGTTTTACTCTTTCTACTTATAACTTAAAAAGTATACATACACTTTTGGTTTTTAAATAGGTACCCACCTTCATTTTTAAATTAAAAAATTAGAAGATATTCGTCTATACATTTCAATAACATTTGCATAATACTATACCGGATTTATTATCCTTCTCTACTTCTCTGGTCTAAATATTAAACTGTTAAATTTCTTAAATGGTAAATAGATAAGGGTATTAAAATGTTATGCACATCAAACTTTTTAGAAAATATTTCCCTTTTCAAATCTTTGTTTTAATGGAGGGTTCCTATTTGAAAATCAAAAGTGTAAACTAATTTTAAGGTTTTAAGAGTAGGGAAAACAAATTGAAAATAATGTTAAAATAAAGTTTAAAAAAATGCTTAACAATATTAAAAAAAATATAAATATATTATTTATATATATAACAGAAATCAAATTCATTTAAAATCTTTAGTTCGTAATAAATGAATCATCCGGTATGTAACTGAAACGATATTAAGGATATTGTGAAATACATATTGTATCAATATTGTAATAAAACCCATTCGCGTTTTATGCGTTCGTTTCGCTTGAAAACGGATGATTTAAAGAAAATTGTCGCAGGCGTAGGATCATTGCGAAGACGGTGTTAAGCGAACCGAAAAATGCAATAAAAAATAAATCCAATTATTTGTCTTCGAAATACTGTACAAAGTTTACCATGATGATAGGTAACTTGTACGATACGCAGACGTTAGATGACTAATTGTACAAGCGATTATATTGTAATACAATAAATTTACAACACTTGGGAGGGGGGGCTTGATATACCAGTAAAGAAAAATAAAATTCCTTGAGTCGTTTCGACAAGTCTGAGGGAAGTTTTGACAACACAGAAAAACTATAAAAATACACTCGCGTCGCTACGATAAACAGTTGAAAACGCATTCGAGTGGATTAGACGAGTTATACAAACTGTATTTGGTCATGACTTATGAACGGTTTAACGAGTGTATTGTGTGACGGAAGTACTATACAACTGAGGTCACCGCCGCCGTCGTATTTATGTTCCAATTTTTATTCGGGTCGGACTTATTGTAAACTTGTCGTATATGGAGGCGGATAACGAGGATAATTGACATGAGAAGCGAGATGATTAATCTCGTAGGAAAGCCCAGGTCGGCTACAAGGATCGTTAATGAGTGTACTTTCCGGTATAGAAATTGAATATATCTATACAATATAATAGACATTATAGAGTAGAGACGTATTTAGAGGGACAGGACGTCACATTTTAAAAAAAACATTATAATCTATTAATCTATTAAGATCGACCTGTTAAGATTTAATAGTATTTTTTTTTTTAGATTCTGAGTGGAACGGTTTTCAATGTTTTTTTTTCTATAGACAACTTTCTACCATCAATTTTGCGCTAATTTACAATGATAACATATTTTCTGGGGTGGTAAGTACTTTAGGGATGTAATTTTTTGATTTTCCCAGGAGTTTTCAACATGGGAAAAACTAAACAAAAACAGGAAAATGGAAATATGTTAAACAAATATTATTAAAAAAAATATGCAATGTCTATATAATTATTTTACTATACTGTGATATATATATATATATTTTAAACAAAGCAACATTATCAACCGAACTCCGCTCAGAATCGTTTTTTTGTTAGCAATGGTTAATCGTTGCTTACAGATCCAAATTAATTAATTTCCCCTCTATATCACCAATATCAGTGGCTGCACCCATCCCCATTATTCTAGGACACATTTTTTTTGACGAACCACATAGTTCCCATTCTGGAATAAATACTGTTTTAGGCTCAGCAGAGCTTAAAACAGTGTATTTTAGAGGACAATGTGTGATATACGAATTTTAAAGTGTACAATTCGAATCATTCCTGTGTTATAAAAAACGTTTTATTATAAAAAGACGCTAAATGAACAGCCCAAGTCTCAAAAATATAAGTACGTCTTTGGTAGAGAGGTTATTAGCTAAGCGACGGTTAATACTCACGTTACTCAGTTCAGGCTTGTCGTCTGGAACGGGGACTGAGAGGGTGACACCTACGACCATAGCTACGGCAATCATCGTCTTAAAGCAGTTAGTCATTTTGGTGGCTGTAGTTTAAAAGTTGACGTTTGTTACTGGAAGTCTATAAATAAATACGAATATAATTAAATTTACTATACTGTGTATATGAACGTAAAAATACTGGAAAGGAAAAGTAGGTACGTTCATTTTCAGTACAGTAGTACAATAAAATGTGCGTTATTATTCCAAAAATATTTCTTCGGCGTGCATGTTCGAATAATATAGTAGAATAAATATTATATGATTTAAAGTGCAAATTCAAATAGTCAAATGTGCGCATATGTCGTGAGTGAGGGAGAAATATCAAAATAAAATATAGGTTAAGGATAAGTTTTAAGACTTCGTTGTAATTATTATCCTGTATATATAGTGATTGTCGAATAATACTATTATGGTTTAAAAAAAAAAAATAAAACTTACGCAATGTACACACTCTACTGTTTCTGGTGGTACGTGTTGAGAGACTATGTACACGCGTATAATACGAGTTGAACGTGTGTGAAATTTCTCTCTGGGAAATTGGTGTTACTGCTGCCGCTGCACTACTGCTACTGCCGAACACGAACCAGACAGAGGCGGACCGTGTGACCGTGGTTCGCAGTTGCTGCAATCGCGGTATCGGTCATCGCGAAGTTACGGTGGTAAGGGACCGGTCCGGACCTGGTAGGGAAACGATGACATCCGTGATAATTATTATTTCACGCGGTGGGATAATCCATGGTGCTATGTTTTTCCGCTTATAGCCACCAAGGTCGAGCCGCTGGCACCGTGTAGTCGAGAAATTGCCATTTGGCGAGCACGTAAATCTAAGTAGTTTAGGCGAATTATAAGTACATACCTTACCAACGTGTATATGCGTGTGTGTGTGAGTGAGTGTGTGTATTTGTGTGCGTTCACACGTATAAATATTGTCTCTACACAACAACAAATCGGCGAACGTCGACGGATGCATGCAGCGGGGAAGTGTAAAAACCGGTGTGAGCCCCAAGGCAAACGCTGTTCGTATTTGAAAACATCTTATAGTTTCCAACATAACTATTATGTACGATTTATAACTATCACGTCGAGTACATTAGCACACGTTCTATACATCAATGCATTATTATAGTCAATATGTATATATTTTTTGAATTTTATATATTATAATAATAATTATGAATTAATAATAGTGTGTGCACTCGGTGCTGACGGAGCTGCAGGTCACTGGCGTCGGACAATAGCTAGTTGTTTATATTATTATGTAGTGGATAGGAAGACGCGGTTTCGAGGACAACGACAATATCATTATAATATTAAATGTACGTTGAACGTCGTAAGGACCTATAGAAGAAATTGTTCTTTTCATCGTAAACCGAACAAGGAAACGATGGCGGTTATTGTTTTTGACTCGGTGTGGATTTATGTGATCACACTCGTTCTTCAGGACGGATAAGTTATTCGTCGAACACGCTCACACACACACACGCACACGCACACACACACACACATACGAATGCGCATACGTAACGCTAATAATAATAATTGTTGGATTCGTAAAAAAAAAAAAAAGTACACATTTATTTATTTAAACGGGCTAAGCTCAATGAAAAAATATAATATAGATCGTATAGTTAACAATTTAGAATACATGGTAATTATTTACATAATACAATAATTGTTAATAATCATAAGCTGAGCAAAAGGTTATTAAGGTATACATTAAACAAACATATATTATTATTACAGAATAAATCTACATTTAACTTATTTACATAGTCCATTAATCTTACAATTGGATCATTTTCAGAGTAATTTACACGACAGAATGGCATATAAAACGTATTAGATTGTCTAGTATTACATACTAGACTAGTATGGGACAGAAAAGTCGATTTGGGCTAATAATTCAAATCATTGTATAAACCCATTAAGTAATTTAAAAGCGAAACAAAGAACGGTCAGAAGAGTTTGTTCTGACCGCCACAGTTTCAAAATTAGTTATTGTTAGTAAAGTTGAATATGATGAATGTTTTTGCCTTTGAATACCACATTTAAAAGCGAAAAACATAGCCTTTTTATTAGGTTATGTATGTTAGGTATTGGTTAATAGTCAGTTGGATAGCTACTGCAACTTAGTTTTTTTAGATTAACGACTCTTATAAGTTCTCTAGATTTTGTTTATTGAAAAATATTCGAAATTATTACAAAATAATTTGTTTAGAAATACCATTTCAGTTAGATTTTCTAAACAGACTAAACACGTGTTGAATGTTATTTTTAGACCGTTATTCATAATCCGAAAACAGTTTTATTCGTATGATTGTATAAAGCAATATATTAGGTAAATCTATTAAAACGATTGCAGTCAGTGGGGTGGCGAAGGGGTTTTAAATGCGCCTAAAGGCGTCATGATTGAAATCTTGAACAATATACTCATTTGTTTTTTCAATTGATCAACTTAAGGTAAATAAATTTTGTTAAAATGTTATGTTAAAAAAAAAAAGAGCTGATACTGGAGACGGGTGTGGTCACTGTACATTGGTTGTTGAGAAGATGGGATACATAAATTAATTTAATTTATATCTGTAACCAACGATAAACCATTGTTAATGAAAAATAATTCGGAGCAAACTTTGATAAAAAAAAAGAAAATACTATACTAAACTCAATATTTTGTTTACTACTAAGTACGAATTATAATGACCCTCTTGTCAAATTTTCAAGAATTTCTGTTATGAATCACTTAAAAGTTATAAGATAATTTTACTGCTAAAGTGTTGGTTATGAATTTATGATATAGCCTATAGGTGTATCATTCAGATAACTTTACAATAATGGGCTATTAACAAATATATTGTGCCTAGGGATATTATTGGACTTTATCCGACCCTGATTGTAAGTTAGCTTTTTTCGTTAGTTATACAAGTTCGCGTACAGCTAGGTGTTATAATCCTGCTCCAAATTCGGAAAAACGCATATTACGCTATCTCCGTCAATAATTATTTGTATCTGATAAATCGTTGATAGCTGATTAGAAACGTTCGTGGTATTGCCGTTAGTTTTCGTAATCTTCATATGAAAGGTGGGCTATCCGATTATTACATTCTATAATATTATAGATTATTATTTATTTTTATCTTTTACCTATTTACCTTTTTGAAAATTATGAAACTAAAATAACAATACATACTTTGTATCGCTCATAATTGTAATTTGTGTATGTTTGTATTTTTTTATTATTTTAATTTTTTTGTCTACCAGACGTTTTTTAGCCGGATATTTTTGGTACAGATTTCTTTTGAACTGGATCCAATGTCGCAAAGTATGTGTGGTTTTTTTTCTATTATAATACTATTTATCATTCAAAGTCACTAATCTAACCTTACTTTTGTCAATATAATATTATAAATAATAAAACAAACTTATTTTTTCCGAAGATATTTAAATAGGTACTGCATCCATCGACAGATTTGTCATTCTACAAGTTATCTTTAAGTGGAGGCATATTTACTGTCAGAGTCTAAATAATGTGCGACGTAGTAAAAATTACGTAAAACATGAATTGTATTGTTATGGTTGAAATTAGTATCTAAACAAAAATCATGCAATTAAATAATTCAAAGAGGATACTTAATATTTTTTATAAGACAATACCTATACGCTGTCAGTTTTTTAAAATATTTTCAAGTAAATAAGTTACAGCTATTTAAAAAAAGAAACAAATCAAACCCTATCATGGGTGTAACTCTATTTTTTTTAACAGAAAAAAAATCAACCCATACTTCCTTATTCTCTTCTTTAATAATAATTTATTCATTGAAATAAAACGGGTGTGAACCCAATTGACAAAAATAATACTCTACAATAAAACAATAGGTAGTATTATGTACGGTTAAATTTTGTTATCTGTTGTAAACCTCCAATTTCAACCTATATATATATATATATGTTCTAATGAATATAATTTTGCCATTTTGCCCTTTTTAGACTGAGACAGTTAACGCAGTATATTATAATATACGAGTTTTTAGAGGATATAATCCTCTCCCCTTCCAATCCTTCTAAATATTCAACAATTATTAGTATTTATTTAGTAGGTAATTTTATCATGAAATGATATAATATTTTAGTCAAGTTACAAGGAAAAAAAGCTTGATTTATTGAATAAAAGTTTGCTTTTTATATTTTAAATTCTGAGTGAAGTGTAAAAGCTTAGGGTTTTACAAAAATGTTAATTTTTTTTGCCTGTAGACAACTTTTCTACCAGCAATTTTCTCCAATTTACAACGATAGCAATTTTTCTAAAAGGAAATTTCACTGGGGAGTTAGGCAAAACCGGGGAAAACGTAGGAAAATTGGTACCCTAAACAAATATTATTAAAGATAATGTTTGATGCCTATTTAATTATTCTACCCTAATATGACGTAATTTATATTGTTTTCGAAGTATCACTATCAACTGAACTCCGCTCAGAATATGTTTTTTGTTAGTAATGGTTTATCGTTGCTTACGGATAAACATTAAATTCCCGTCTGTATCCTTACAGACACGTAATATGTACGTAATAATGGGTACCATATTTATAGTATCTTACCGGTATACATTAAATTACTTATAACAGTGGTTGCAACCGATATACCCATTATCCTAGGACATCTTTTTTTTTATATCCGACTTTTAAATTCTTATTGGCTGTGTTTGGCGAATTACAAAAGAAGATTCTACGGTTTCTTCATAACTCATGATTATTATTTACAACATCCCTTCTCATTGAAAATTCATGGACACGCCGCTGATTATCATCTCATTTTGAACGGAGCCACTTTATTTGTAACGTAGGTATCTTGTGGTGCGTTGTAGCATATGATGTATACAATTATGTGCAATCGTAGTAAAATATAATTTATATACAACACCGGTTTATGAGTGTGTGTGTGTGTGTGTGTGTGTGTGTGTGTGTGTGCGTACGAGCGATTTTATTGTGCTAGAGTCCAGCGCACGTAACCAGTTGGTTTGGTATAAGTTCTGAGTGTATACCTATACCTACAAGCGTTGGAAAAACCTACAGCCACGGAGTACGTAGAACAACGTTATTCCCACAATAATATAAGTACCGCCTAACCGGTGGACCGTGACGCATGTTAAACTTGTTAATTGTTAATTATAATATCATGGTTATGAGTGTGAATTTATGTTTCTTCATTTATACTTATAGGTACTTTAAATTATATTTTATATTAAAAAATAAATTGACTACTAATTATTTGTTGTCTGTTTTTCTTTTATATTGCGTTTTATGAAGAAACATTTTTAAATGTATTCACAATTGGTTATATGTCGATAAAATCAAATAAAAACTGATTAAACTCGAAAATGTCATGTATAGCCAAAATGTTTTGAAAATTTTACAATGTCTAGAAATAGGTAATGTAAAGTATTCTGTCATTTTCACGTCACTACTGTTATTTTTAAAACAGCCTATACTGCTGATGAGTTTCCACTGTTGTAAGTGGAAAGTTGGGAAGATAAAATACATAAAGTTATTTCATTTATATCTGAATAAGCGACGGTAAACTTTCGTTTATACGTGTTTTTAATACTATAATATTCACAATTTTTATTAAAATTTGATATTGAAAATATTACAAAAAAAAATTACT